CCGCCTGGGATCCGCGCCCGTACGGACCGCCAGCACCGATGGTCTGTACCGATTCGGATCCTAAAATGCAACCGGCGCAGAACAGATTAGGCTCCGACTTTTGGATCCGCCTTTCTACTTTCGTCAGTACTGGCGCGGTACTGGATTTGTTCCGCCTGCAGATTTCATTCTTCTACGCGCGTCGGAAGAATGACGGATGTTAGGTCTGTACTGGCTCGGTGCTGGGGCGGATCCGACTGCGGATCTCGTCATTTATTGTTATAGTTTACATTATCAGTATAATCATAAATTTATTTTATTATTATAATTAATTATTACAATAACTAATTGCATTTATTATAATATATATTAGTTAACCAATAAATAAATTAATAGTATTCATGCAAAGGAAGAATATAAGAAACTTAATTTTTTCATTATAAATATATATAAAAATCCAACTTTATTAATGTGCAATTAAATAAATAATTTTTAATAAATAATATATTAATTTGAAAGAAGTAAAATATATTTAACTTGAAAGAAAATGTGATCAATATATTATAATGCCTACAATAAATACCTAACATATTAAATACAATATATAAAAAAGAGATTATTATTAATTAATTAATAATCTCTTTTTAATTTAAACAATATATTAAGTAATTATTTATTGACACTTTTCTGCAAATTAAATAATTAAAAAAATGTGTTGTGCATTCAAATTTTATTCAATTTAATACTATAACTTATATGTTATAAATTGTTTTGCAGTGAAGTTATGTTCATATTATTCGATATATTATGTAATAAAATATTAAAAAACATAATAATAAAAATATAACATTTTTTTTTAAACGAAATATTGAAATATTCATAAATACACATTCAGTAAAGTATTGAAAATATACCGGTATTACATCAGTTCGTATTTCCAAATTGCCTATTGCCGCGTAGTAATTTTACAATTTTTATTTCAGCTAGTGAGACTTGAAAGCATTTAAGGTTTGAGAGTTCCATGCGAGCGTAGCATAGTGGTTAGCGTGCGAGATTTCGGTGCGTAAATATTCGGTTAGGCGTAGGTTCGTACCCCCAAGCGTTAGGATTTTTCAAATGTGTATGTAATAAAAAATTGCGTTCAAGTGTATAAAGAAATAAAAAAATGTGTAAAGTGAACTGTCAATGAATTGTCATCCGTATTTATCTTTTGCAATTAATTATTATTTTTTATTGATATTTGTTGAAATTATCATTTTGATCCGAGCCGGTTGTCAGGCGGTAGAATGCCAGCATTGCCAGCGCACATCTGGCTAGGAAATGAAAGATCCGCAGTCGGTACAGTGCCGGGTCCCAGCCGGTTGAATTATACACGGAACGGCTCTTCGCGGCCGGTTACCGGGCGGTAGAATGCCAGTTCCGAGACGGATGGCCAGCCAGCTCCTGGCCAAGTCATCTTTTGGTAGAATACCAGTTCTCGGGCGGTAGGCAGGCGGTTCCCAGCCAGTACCACTACTCCGGCGTCGGTACAGGCGAGGATCCGCGCCGGTTGGAAATTTCCCACTGGGTTATTCAGATTTAGAGAGTAGCGCAGTCGACGGCCGCAAGCGGCCGTCTCCTTTGCCGTTCTCTGCCATTTCTCAATTCAGTTCCCTGCCTAATTTTTAATTAATTACAATTTTTCTTTTTTCTTTGTGAATTTGATATACAATTAAACTTACACAAACATATAAGCGTAAGGCATATGAAACTGGCGAACGCTAAGCATTAAATACTCTCTAAATCTGAATATGTGAAATTTCACTTATTGTACGTTATAAGTCGTCCTCTCGATCAATAAGTGCATATACACTTATAAATAAGTGAATTTTTCACTTATTCTGAGTGAAATTTCACTTATCATAAGTGTATATGCACTTATTGATCGAGAAGACGACTTATAACGTACAAATATGTGAATTTTCACATATTCAGATTTAGAGAGTAGGGAATTATCTTTAACTGTTCTACGCCATTTCTAAATTTAGTTTGCTACCTAATTTTGAATTAATTCTAATAACTTTAATTTCATTACATTTAAATATAAGATTTAAACTCCTGCCCTATTATAATTATATTCTTTGTTACTATTATTAATAATTATTTATTATTTTCAATAATATTGATTTCAATTTATTTATTCTAATTTCTTTTTTAATAAACATAAATTGATAAATATATACCATTTGTCTAGTTTTAATTATCTGATGCTGAATTAGAATGTATGTTCATTGTTATTAATAATATTAAAAAAAGTTTTTTGTTTATTTAATTTTCTTAATTACTTTTAATTAAAAAATGAATAAAAATAAATATTTATTTTTTATCAATTTCAAAAAAGGCTATTAACATTTTAAAAGTTAGCGCCAACAATTGGACAACCGCAGCTCCATCTGCAACATGCACTTTGCTTATGAGTATTCCTTTCTCCAATGCTTTTTTCCTAATCGCGCTGCGAGTTCTCTTCGATATTTTCGATATTCGATCTTGCCCATGCCTTCATGCTTTTTGTTTGGTAGGATAGGAACATAAGAAAAATTGTCCTGAAAATCATGAATTCCTTAAAGTGTTTTTAAGGGCATCCGGGAAAAATCGAGCCCAAAAAGTGTTTTCCCGCGTGTCGTCTCACTCCTAATTAATTAGAGATATTTAGTTCGGATTTATCATGATAATTAGGGGAATTCATGATGATAAAGAATATTCTCGAATATTGCAAGTAATTTTTGAAATAAATATTGAAAAACGAAATTACAAAAGTTGGATTTTTGGCGAAAGTGAGAGACAATATGGCGGCGAGCACACAGACAAGTGGATCTATGTGTCAGTGGTCAAGGAGGTGGCGCCAATTCTCGGAAGTGGTCGCTACTTGAACTAAGGAAATGTCTCAATCTCAAATTACTCCACTTTCAATCGTTAATAAAATAATTTCCTCGCAAAATTATTGCAAAAACGGAGAGGGCCGCTCCTCGGAGAGTCTTCCTCTATCACCCCTCCAAATATGAACCCGAAATATTTTATCCTCTCAAAATGAGACGTCTATACTGAACCGTGAAAAACCCCTTTTTTCCGTATATTTAAACAATTTTTTTCAATAATTATTTATCAAAATTTCTCTAAATTCCGAGAGGACCGCTGGTCCCAGAGCATTTCTCTATATTTACCAAAAAATCCCGACTCAAAATATTCTTTTCTTTTTAAATGAGACGTCTATCACGAAACCAGTATTATTTCCCGGATGCTCTTAAAGAAATTTAATTTTATTTTCGAAACAACTTTAATTGAATTTCTAGGAAAAATTTCCTTATTTTTAAATATTTCTATAAAATTCTTCATAACAATTTAATTTTTTTTTTAAATTTTAATAAATCCTTCGAAAGAATTCAATTATTTTTATAAGTAGTAAAATTCATCGTAAGAATTCAATTATTTTTCATAAATAATAAAATTCTTTTTAGGAATTCAATTATTTTCAATACAATCATTAAAAAAATTCGATTGTATTCAATAAATTAAAGACATTTTTCGAAAGAATTCAATTAATTTCTAAAAATTTTAATAAAATTCAAGAATTAAATGTTTATAATTTCAATTATTAAGAAACACGATTATTGTAAAAACTTGAAAGAAATTGTTCATATAAAATTCAATTACTTTGAAAATTTGCAATTAAAATTATTAAAGACACTCCATTATTTTAAACAAATTTAAAGAAATTCTTCAAAAGAATTTAATTAGGATTCTGAAAAATTTTAATAAAATTCTTCCCAAAAATTCAATTATTGTTATAGATAATAAAATTCTTCGAAGAAATTAAATTATTATCAAATTTTTTAATAAACATCTTTGCATAAATTCAATGATTTGCAAATTTTTAAAAAATTTTTTCGCAACAATTCAATTATTTTCGTAAATAATAAAATTCTTTTTAGGAATTTAATTATTTTCAAACAAACACAATTTTCATTCAATTTTTCGAAAAAAATCGATTATTTAAAATGATTTTATAAAATTCTTCGTATCATTTCAATTATTTTTAAAAACTTTGATAAAATTCTTGGAAAAATTTCAATTTTTTCATAAATAATAAAACTGATTGCAGAATTTCAATTATTTTTAATACAATTTTAATCGAATTCCTCACAAAATTTAATTATTCTTAAAAATTTGTTGATCAAATTCTTTATGAGAATTCAATTTAAAGAAACATTCAATTATTCAGTAAGTTATTAATTTTTCTATTTAAATAATTGAATTCTCGTTGAATTTTCTAATAAAAATTGATTTAAAAATTAATTTCAGTTAAAATTTTATAGATAATAATTGAATATTAAAAGCTTTATAGCTTGAATTTTTAGAAATATGTAATTGAATTTTGAAAAAGTTTCAAATTAAAATCTTTGAAAATCTGAATTTTTCATATTTTTAACTAACAATTCTGTGGAATTAATTTTTTTAAAAGGTTGAATTGAATTTTTTTTGAAATTTTTTCAAGTTATTTTCTAATATAAATTTAATTGAAAAATTTTCGAATAATTGAAATTTCTTAAAATTGAATTGTAAATAAATGGATTTTTGAAAATTGTCAAAGAACTTGTTACGTCCTATGGACTAAACATAATTATTTTAAATTCAATTTATTAAATAAATGAATATTTAATAAATGGAATTATGTTAGTGATTAGAACCTAAGCTCTCGCTTAATAGTTCGGGACACTTTCGAGTTGAACAATGTTAAAAATTTATTTTATAGGGATTTTTGATTTTAAAAGGAACAAGGTTAATTAGTAACAGCAATATGAAACATTAATTACCTTTGGCTTCATAGGTTATAAACATATTGGATTTGTTCAAATAAAAGAAATAATATTCTTAGAATTGGGAAATAGTTTTTTGAAATATAACAATTCCTCTAAAGTATAATTGTTATATTTCGAAGTTTAGAAAAGATGAATTTAATAACAATATTTTGAATTTGTACTCACTTTTTATTTATAGTTATGAATAAAATCGTTGTCTTCAAAAACGTGAAATAATTTGGAATCCTCGTAATATCGATTATTAATAATCGATTAATCGATTTACTGTATCGATATATTGATATATCGATTTATGATTTCGATATGTGATGAAATTATTTGAATTTGGTAATAGAATTGACACTTGTATATAACTTTTAAAATAGACTTGAACTTAAGTTGAATTTTAGTATTGAGAACTTGAGACTGAACACTGTATGAATGTTTAAGATTGAACTGAATACTTGGAATGAGATTTTAACTGACTTGTGTCTAGTTGTCTTGTAAGGATACTGTTTGACATCCCATCCTCTTGGGGATGCTGTTTTTTAAAGGTTTTTCCCCACTAGGATTTTAGGGAGTTTTTAGATTTTTGGAAAATATTTTTAGAGAGATGGAAAAAGAGGCTGACTAATTATCAGATTGGTAAAAAGTTAAAAGATTTGATTTTGTCGTTTCGGGATTGGGTCTTCGAGACCCATCCCACTTATGTAGGTTGTGTCTTAAAGGGACGTACCCTAGGTCAGTGTCTTTCTAAAATAGTAGGGATATTATTTCACGTTTTTGGATTTTTACAGAATATTGTTAAAAACTAATTAATAATAATTTTACAAAATTTTTTATAGCGTAGTTTAATTGTTTATAATTTTTAAATGTATGTAGGTTTTTGAATTTCAATTTTATCGTAATTTTTAACGTAATTGTCGCATTATTTAATTATTTATTTCGATTTTATGATCATTTATTCTTTATAAATTGTTATTAATAATTTGTGAATTATTATTGGTTTATTGTTTATAATTATTCTTTGTGGGTATTTATTTGTTATTAATTATTTTATAAACGATAAATATTTATTTATACGCATTATTAATAATTGTTAATAATTTTTGTTTATTGCAAACTATATAATGTTTAATTGAAAATTAAAGTTTTATTAATTGTTTAAGCGCATTTGAAAATGTATATATGCATTTCAGACCGTGCCTTTAAGAGGCTGTTCTTTAGACATCTGGTCAAGGATTAGGTTTCAATTTATGGTTTCCTTTACATTTGGAAACACTTTAACTTTTGTTTGGAAAATGTATTTCTTTTTAGCAAGGTTAGAATTGACTGTTAAGAAGGCCGAAATTTGAACTGCCCTTTTCACGGTACAATCTGTGAGCGATAAAAATGTTCTGTGAACGAATTTTCTTAGAAAAAAGATAATTTTTAAATGTTTGTCTAGTCTGTTTAATGTTACTCTTATAGGGCCCATTTTAAGTTATTTGAAAAATATAATTTGAAAAATAAAAGTGAAAAATATACAGGATGTAACAAACTTTTTCGAAAAATATTAAAAATAATTGATTTAAAGAAGAATTTTAGTTAATAATTCTTGAAAATAATATTTGAATTGAAGTGATGAAAATAATTTTGAATAAATACAATATTCTTATAGTATAAAAAATTATTTTATCAGTCGGTCATCTTTAATAAATTATTATAAAACATGAAGAAAGCGATTAGAAGTGATCGATATCTTCATGTTTTATAGTTATGAAAAATTGAATTTATAGTTTTAAGTAAAATGTTGTCTTATTTGACTAGGACGACTCGGACTGGTTATATTTTTGTTAGTAATTGGCCCGTAATTTTTTATTTTTGGTCTGTAAAGTCCGTATTATTTTTAAATACTTTCACTAGTTCGAGCCCTGTATTTATAATATTAGAATGATGAGAAAGAAAATAAATTTGAATGTGACTTTTTTCTTTACAGACTATATTCTCGTTCGCGTCGTGAATACAATGAAGAAAAAGTTGCAAAGATTTCAAATAACACTTTTGATTTTCATATCCGAGGTATCAGAATAGAAACTTCTGATAAACATACGGTTTACGGTGATGATGGTGTGCCAGAAATTTTAGCAGGAAATGAAATAGTGCTTCGATTATTTGGCGTTGGTATCACTGAAGATATAGAAATTGCATTTACAAATGATCATGAAAATAAAGGTGCCTTATGTGACAAACGCAGCACAGATAAATTTTCCGTAAGTTTTACAGAATGGAAACACTTTTTTCAAATTACAAATTTCATTGGATCAATTTTTTTCTAGATTTACAAAGTCGAGGAAAATACAGCTTTAGTTTCAATAGTTCTTTCGAAGCCAGGGATTTATTATTTGTGCGCAAATAGAAGAGCTCAAGAAACAGATATTCCTGTTTCAGCTGTACATCAAGGTTCCGACAACTATTTGACTGTAAGTTTCAAATAAAAGCAGAGAAGAAAAATAATATTTTATGCCTGTCATAATTCAAACTTTTCTATAGAGAAATGCATAAATTATAGATTCGTGCTTATGAAAAATCTCTTCCACTTTGGGTGTCAATAATCATCATTCTCACTTGTCTCAGTTTCTCAGCATTATTCTCTGGGCTTAATTTGGGTCTCATGTCATTAGACAGAACTGAATTGAAAATTCTTTGCAATACTGGAACTGAAAAGGTAAATTACAATCCCAAATACAATTAATTTAATGCAATTTACACAAAGCGTGATTTTTAATGGGAAAAATTAAATATTTTTCAGGAAAAGCAATATGCAAGAACAATTGAACCCGTGAGAAATATGGGAAATTATTTGTTGTGCTCCATTTTGTTTTCTAATGTTCTTGTGAATTCGATTTTTACAATTGTCCTCGAGGAACTTACATCTGGACAAGTTGCTGTTATTTGCGCAACTCTCGCTATTGTTATTTTTGGTGAAATTTCACCTCAAGTACGTATTTATCTTACGTTTTTTCTTCGACTTATTTTTATTTTATTTTATTTTATATTTTATTTTCTAATTTACAGGCAATTTGCAGTAGACATGGATTATGCATTGGTGCTAAAACAATTTACATGACAAAACTCACGATGATACTAACGTTTCCTCTAAGTTATCCCATAAGTAAACTTTTAGATTTAGTTCTTGGCGAAGAAATCGGAAACGTCTATAATCGTGAACGCCTGAAAGAACTTGTCAAGGTGAGAAGGAATTAAATATTTTTAACAGGCATCACAGTTGGTCCCCTTCTTTGCTGATTTGTCGCCTTTTTCACCTTTTTCACCTTTTTCTAATCAAAAATAAACAAGTTTTTATTTTTGTCAAATCTTTTTCAAAGTGTAATCATAAAATTTAGACTCATAGAATTTAGATTATTAACTTAACACCACAACATAATATAAATGTTTTTTTTATGTCAAGCATTTGAATAGTATAGAAATCGTAAAGAATTTTATAAATTATAAGGTGGTTCATTCAACAAAATGCAGACCTCTAGAAAAATAATTCATTAATATTCAAATAATTAAAATATTATTATTAATAGTTTTTTCTAAAAAACAAAAATCCTAATATAAAACCTTCAATTTTTTCCATTTATGACAATAATTTATTTTTAAATAACTTAATTCTTCAAGAACTATAATAAAATTATAACTTAGAAATTATTTAATGAATAATTTTATTTATACATTTCAAAATTAATTGAATTTTAAAAGTTTCGTTTACAATTTTCATAAATACATAGATGATACATAGATGAACTTAGAAAGATTTTAGTTTTAAATTTTATAAAATTTCAATTTTATGAATAAATTTTATTAGAAATTCTAAAAAACTTAAATTTTTGCAAAAAATTTTGAAATTTGTTAATTTATTTATATATATATATATATATATATATATATATATATATTATATTATATTATATTATATATAAAACTATTCATCATAGGAGTTAGGTACTCAAATGTGATTTTGATATACTCGCTTACTTGTTTTCACTCATTGAGTCGGAAAAATTATCGCAAAAATTATTTCTAAAGTCAAATTTAGTGCTGAACACGAATACCATAATGGATTTTTGATTCAAAAATTTTACAAGTGTTTTTTCAAAAAATGTGCGGTTGGGGCGAAACTATTCGCCCACTGATGACAGCGAAAACTACGAAAGTGTATTTTTGTGTGTGCTTGTTTCTAGGTTAGAATGGTAAGAAATTGGAAGAGAAAAACCAGAAAAATTCCTCCAACTAACAAATTAATTTTTATATTTTTTTTAGTATTATATCATTAATAGCTGCAAGAATAGTTACGCCCCTCGTTTTTTTCGACATCAAAAAAAAAAAAAAATTCGTAAAATCGCTGTAGTTCGGAACAGAATTGAGTTACAGCAAAATAATACATGGCAAAATTGTAGCTAAGAAGTAAAGTTTTCAAACGGTCCAACTCATATTTTTATTCTTTTTTAAATACATTGTTTAGACTCAAAAATCCAAACAAGAATAGTAATGCCCCACCCTACCCTATATGTATATATATGTCGTAGACAAATAGAAAAATCCGTCGTTTAGCTTAATTCCTAGGTTTTAGCTAAACGCGGGCAAATAGGAAAATGTTCAAGTAAATGACAATTTTTTTTTTAATTGCCTGAATTCTTTAGTCATTTAGCTTGATGCCTAGGCGTTAAGCTAAACGCCCAAAAAGCGCCAGGCGAATAGAGAAATTGATCTCGATTGATGGATAATAAACATTGTAAAAAAATTTTGAGAATCGGTCCAGTAGTTTCCGAGAAAAACATCACGCAGCATGAAAAAATGTGGTTTTGAGAAAAACGCGTTTAAATTTGTATTGTATACTTACATAGCCGTGTACGCGCTCAAATAAATAAATAAATTTATTCGCAGAAATTCAATTTTATTCAAAAATTTAAAGAAATTCTCGTCAAAATTTCAATTCTCTTTATAAATAATAAAATTCTTCTTCAAATTCGTCGAAAGAATTTAATTATTAAAAAATTTTTTGATACAATTCTTTATGAGAATTCAACACACTAAAAAAAAAGTCTTACTTTCAGCCTCTTTTTGAGGCTGAATTTAAGGTGTAAACGGAGTCAGCCCCGTTAGACAAGGACAGACTTATGTGAAATACATGGGCTGAATTTAAGGTGTAAACGGAGTCAGACTTTTTTTTTCCTGTGAATGTTAAGAAGCATTCAATTATTCAAGAAATTGTTTATTTTAGTGTTTAAATAATTGAATTCTCATAGAATTTTCTAATAGAAATTGATTTAAGTGAATTTCAGTTAAAATTTTATAGATAATAATTGAATATTAAAAGCTTTATAGCTTGAATTTTTAGAAATATGTAATTGAATTTTGAAAAAGTTTCAAATTGAAATCTTTGATAATCTGAATTTTTCATATTTTTAACTAACAATTCTGTAGAATTAATTTTTTCAAAAAGTTTAATTGAAATTATTCAAAGTTTTTATTTTCAAAAATATATTTAATTGAAGAATTTCCGAATAATCGATGAAATTTCGTAAAATTGAATTGTAAACAAATACATTTGAACATTCTCAAAATTTTTTTTTTAAAATTATAATAATTTTAGGGTGTCTACTAACCGGGAATTCCGGGAAAACCGGGAAATAACTGGGAATTTTATTTGACCGGGAAAAACCGGGAATTAGCCGGGAATTTTATACCAAACCGGGAATTTTTTTACCAAAATTAAAAAAGTTTTATTATTTTAATTTGTTTTTAAAAAATCACTTTTTATTTCAATTTTTATATGTATGTGAAGTTAGCCCCCCACTTTCAAAAAAATTAAATTTTTTTTAGAGTTCTGACTTCCTCTACAATGGTTCTGGAGTTCCTGATAGTTTTTAGAATTAGTTCCGGCGATTAAATGGTAAAAAATAGGTTTTTTCATAATGGGGGGCTAACTTCACGCAGCCCCCCACTATTGAAAAAATGGATTTATTATTAGAGTTCTGAGTAGCTATAAGAGAGTTCTAGAGTTCCCTACAGTTTATTTCAATAGTTCTCATAATCCAAAATCATAAAAAAAATAATTGAAAATTCCAGAATTTTTCAAAAAAATTAAAATTTTACGAAAAAAGAGTTCTGATCAGAGTTCTGTTAGCCCCCCATCGAGATAGATAAAAAACATTTATAACAATTTTTTCAAAACCGAAAAACTACTGAACTACAAAAGTTTGAAAATTACAAAAAAATTTTTTATCATAAATTAAGAGTTCCATGAGTTCTGATCAGAGTTCTTTTAGCCCCCGATAGTGTTCGACAAAAAACCTTAATAACAATTTTTTCAAAACCCAAAAACTACTAAACTACAAGACATTAAAGTTTCAAAAAAATTTGATCTTTTATATTTTGAGAGTTCCATGAGTTCTGATCAGAGTTCTGTTAGCCCCCGATAGTGTTCGACAAAAAACCTTAATAACAATTTATACAAAACCCAAAAACTACTAAACTACAAGACTTTGAATTTTCAAAAAAAAATTTGATCTTTTGTATATTGAGAGTTCCATGAGTTCTGATCAGAGTTCTGTTAGCCCCCGATAGTGTTCGACAAAAAACCTTAATAACAATTTTTTCAAAACTCAAAAACTACTGAACTACGAGACTTTGAATTATCAAAAAAAAAAAAATTTATTAGAAATTGAGAGTTCCATGAGTTCTGATCAGAGTTCTGTCAGCCCCTCATCAAAATTAATAAAAAATCTATATTGCAATTTTGTCAAAACTTAAAAACTACTGAACTACAAGACTTTGAATTTAAAAAAAAATTTATCATAAATTGAGAGTTCCATGAGTTCAGTCATGTAAAGTTAATACTACTTTTTAAAAAAATCAAAAATTTTACAAGAGTTCTGGGTACTTTAGCAATAGTTCTAGAGTTCTCTAACGATTATTTAAATAGTTCTGATGATTAACAATAAAAAATCATAGTGCTAACTTTGCATAGCACTATGATTTTTGCAAAAAAGAGTTCTGACCTAATATTATGAAAATGAATAAAGAGTTCTAGAGTTCTCTACCAAAGAAAACAAGAGTTCTGCAGAATTTCAAAAGTTATTAACAAATTAAAAAAGTTATGAAAATAATATTCTGCGAGTTCTGAATAGAGTTCTGGCATTGTTGCAAAGTGTTTTACAAGTATATCTCATAAAATTTTGTTCTAAATCAAAAATCAAAAAAGTTACGGGACATTGAAGTTTTCAAAAAACTTCAAAATTTTAAAATTCAGAGTTCTGAGAGTTCTGAAAAGAGTTCTGGAATCGTCATAAAGAGTTGTATAAGTATTTCTAATGACATTTTGTTCTAAATCCAAAATCAAAAAATTACAGAACTTTGAAATATTCAAAAAATTTAAAACTTTAAAGTTCTGAGAGTTCTGAAAAGAGTTCTGGCATCGTCATAAAGAGTTCTATAAGTATTTCTAATGACATTTTGTTTTAAATCCAGAATCAAAAAAGTTACAAAACTTTGAAAATTTCTAGAATTTTTAAAATTTTAAAATTCAGAGTTCTAAGAGTTCTGAAAAGAGTTCTGGCATCGTCATAAAGAGTTCTAAAAGTATTTCTATTTTCTAATGACATTTTGTTCTAAAATAAAAAAAAATGTTACGGGACATTGAAGTTTTCAAAAAATTTTTAAATTTTAAAATTCAGAGTTCTGAGAGTTCTGATTAGAGTTCTAGCATCATTGCGAAGAGTTCTAGAAGCAACTCTGATGACATTTTTCTCTAAGCCCAAAATCCAAAAAATTACAGGATTTTGAAATTTTTTTAAAACTTTAATGTCCCGTAACTTTTTTGATTTTTTGATTTAGAACAAAATGTCATTAGAAATACTTATAGAACTCTTTATTACGATTCCAGAACTCTTTTCAGAACTCTCAGAACTCTGAAAATTAAAATTTTGAAGTTTTTTGAAAACTTCAATGTCCCGTAACTTTTTTGATTTTTGATTTAGAACAAAATTTTATGAGATATACTTGTAAAACACTTTGCAACAATGCCAGAACTCTATTCAGAACTCGCAGAATATTATTTTCATAACTTTTTTAATTTGTTAATAACTTTTGAAATTCTGCAGAACTCTTGTTTTCTTTGGTAGAGAACTCTAGAACTCTTTATTCATTTTCATAATATTAGGTCAGAACTCTTTTTTGCAAAAATCATAGTGCTATGCAAAGTTAGCACTATGATTTTTCATTGTCGCTTTTTTTATTGTTAATCATCAGAACTATTTAAATAATCGTTAGAGAACTCTAGAACTATTGCTAAGGTACCCAGAACTCTTGTAAAATTTTTGATTTTTTCAAAAAGTAGTATTAACTTTACATGACTGAACTCATGGAACTCTCAATTTATGATAAATTTTTTTTTAAATTCAAAGTCTTGTAGTTCAGTAGTTTTTAAGTTTTAAAAAATTGCAATATAGATTTTTTATTAATTTTGATGAGGGGCTGACAGAACTCTGATCAGAACTCATGGAACTCTTAATTTCTAATAAATTTTTTTTTTTTGATAATTCAATGTCTCGTAGTTCAGTAGTTTTTGAGTTTTGAAAAAATTGTTATTAAGGTTTTTTGTCGAACACTATCGGGGGCTAACAGAACTCTGATCAGAACTCATGGAACTCTCAAAATATAAAAGATCAAATTTTTTTTGAAAATTCAAAGTCTTGCAGTTTAGTAGTTTTTGGGTTTTGAAAAAAATGTTATAAAAGGTTTTTATCTAACACTATTGGGGGCTAACAGAACTCTGATCAGAACTCATGGAACTCTCAATATATAAAAAAACAAATTTTTATTGAAACTTTAATGTCTTGTAGTTCAGTAGTTTTTGGGTTTTGAAAAGATTGTTATTAAGGTTTTTTGTCGAACACTATCGGGGGCTAACAGAACTCTGATCAGAACTCATGGAACTCTTAATTTATGATAAAAAATTTTTTTGTAATTTTCAAACTTTTGTAGTTCAGTAGTTTTTCGGTTTTGAAAAAATTGTTATAAATGTTTTTTATCTATCTCGATGGGGGGCTAACAGAACTCTGATCAGAACTCTTTTTTCGTAAAATTTTAATTTTTTTGAAAAATTCTGGAATTTTCAATTATTTTTTTTATGATTTTGGATTATGAGAACTATTGAAATAAACTGTAGGGAACTCTAGAACTCTCTTATAGCTACTCAGAACTCTAATAATAAATCCATTTTTTCAATAGTGGGGGGCTGCGTGAAGTTAGCCCCCCATTATGAAAAAACCTATTTTTTACCATTTAATCGCCGGAACTATTTCTAAAAACTATCAGGAACTCCAGAACTATTGTAGAGGAAGTCAGAACTCTAAAAAAAATTTAATTTTTTTGAAAGTGGGGGGCCAACTTCACATACATAATTTTTATAGGTATTTATACTGTTCTCTAAATTTAAGTTAGTTAAAAATAATTAATTTGATAGTAAAAAATCAATTCGACTGAAAATATGTAATTAAATTTGTTAAAGAATTTCATTAGAAACTTTTTAACAAATAGAATTTTCAAAGTATTTTAATTTAATAATTGATTAATAATTGAATATTATAAAGAGTTAAATTCTAATGTATTCATGTTTCTTACTGCGAAGATTTAAAGAATTTAAAGAAGATTTAAAGAATTTTATTTAAATTTTTCGAAAATAATCAAGGGAAGTTAGTGACCGTAATTATAATTTAATTTTTAAAATTTAAAGTCCCTCTTACAGTTTTAAATCAATTTTTTGCTTCTAAAAATATTATTAAACTTCTCTTAAATTTTTATAATTTGAAATTTCTGATTAAATGTTTATTACTTATTAAGTAAATAATTAATTATTATTAATGATTATTATTTTCAAAAATTTATATAAAATTCTTCACAAGAATTAAATTATTTTCATAAATAATAGCATTCTTTGGAAGGATTCAATTTTTTTTATAAATAGTGAAATTTTTTTGTAGAAATTCAATTATTATCAATATAATTTTAATAAAATTAAAAAATCAAATTTTCAATTATAATTAGAAAGAGACAAGATTATTTTTGAAAAATTAAAAAAATTTAAAGATTTATTTATTTTTGAAATCAAATTTAAATTTAAATTTAAATTTGATGAGAAAAAAAGCAGGAAAAAATTTGGACATAACCGGGAAAATCCGGGAAATAACCGGGAATTTTGTTGAACGAAAATACTAGACACCCTGATTATTGTAAATAATTGATTTAAGGTATTTCTCCGGCTGCTACTCTTGAAAAATTGATTTTCGATAGATTTTCTTCAAATTTTGAGAAAATGTTTCTTCGGGTGCCCTTTAAATGTGGTAAAAATTTCAAAACCCTTTGCCATGTCAAAAAACAAGATATTGTGGTTGAGATTTTTTATTTTTAATATAATCGCATGTAAAAGTTAAATTTTGAACTTGAATGACTGAAAATTTAGCATCGCAAAGGATTTTGAAATTTTTACCACATTTAAAGGGCACCCGAAGAAGCATTTTCTCAAAATTTGAAGATGATCTATCGAAAATCAATTTTTTCAAGAGTAGCAGCTGAAGAACTACCTTAAAGAAGAATTTTAGTAAAAAATTCTAGAAAATAATTGAATTGAAATGATGAAAACAATTTTGAAGAAGTTACAGTAAAAATATTTTTTATAGTAGAAAATAATGATTTTATCACTCGGTCATCTTTTATTATTATAAAACATGAACAAAGTGATCACTTTCTTCATGTTTTATAATATCTTCATAAATTGTTGAATTTAAAAAAGATTTGAATTTGAATGTTTTTAAAATCTTAATTCCTATGGAAAAATAATAATGATTAAATATTTTTTAAAAAAATAAGTTATCGCTGTTTTTCGAATAATTTTACAGTTTTAAAGAAATTAGTAAATAAATGTAATACAACCTTTTTTTTGAGTAGCTAATCAAGGAAAAAGAAAATAAAATTTTTGTAGCATTTGATTAAAATCGAATCGTTATGGAAGCTTTATGATAAAAAATTTGAATTATTTATGCAATTTGTATAAAGAAATAAATTTTGATCCCCTTTTCTTCCCGTTTTGGGGAAAAAGGTACTGTGATGCCTGTTTTCATTTAATTTAAAGTTCAAATAATGAAATAGAAAGGAAGATTTATTAGATCTTCAAAAGAGAAATAACAATGAGATATTCAATGTTAGAAACGTGATATTTAAAAGAATCTCACATGTATCGTGAGTCATGCAGGGGGTGGGGTGGCTTATCAGAAAGTTGGATGTTCTCAAATTGCGAGATAATATTATTATTCAATATTAAAACCCAAACGTTAATGCACGGTGTACACCTCCTATCTTGAGTTTTACAAAGATATCATTAGAGATAACTCATAAGTAATTCGATCCAACGTTATTCAATTGAATAAGACGATACGATACCATCTGCATTTGAAATATAAAAATATTCAATCATTTCAGTAACTAATTGCAAAATTAAATTAACATTCCAACATTAAATAATCACTGTTTTGCTGCAGGTGACGACTGGATTTAATGATTTGGAAAAGGAAGAAGTAAATATTATTTCCGGTGCTTTAGAATTATGTAAGAAAACAGTGGCCGATGTTATGACTCGAATCGATGATGTTTATATGTTAGACTACAATGCTATTTTAGATTTTGAAACAGTTTCAGAAATTTTAAAATCAGGTAAGCTTTTTCTATTTTCGAAAACTCGAGCGAAGTTTTATATTAAAATAAATTTTTTTCTAGGATTTTCACGAATTCCCGTTTATGAAGAAACTAGAAACAATATTGTTTCGATATTATACATCAAGGATCTGGCATTCGTTGATCCAGATGACAATAAACCATTGAAAACATTGTGTGAATTTTACAAAAATCCATGTAATTTTGTATTTGAAGATGTTACATTGGACGTAATGTTCAAACAATTTAAAGAAGGTTCCACTTAAATATAATAGATCATTTGTGTTTCAGTAGTTTGAGATTTTCTTTAACAATGACTTCTTCTTTCGGTAGGACACAAAGGTCACATGGCGTTTGTACAACGAGTCAATAGTGAAGGTGAAGGCGATCCATTTTATGAGGTCATTGGTTTAGTAACTTTAGAGGACGTTATAGAAGAATTGATTCAAGCTGAAATAATGGATGAAACTGATGTTATCAGTGAGTAATCATTATTTTTATATAAGTTTCAATTTCATTTTCAATTTAACCTTTCAAAAATAACTCTTTTTTCGAACATTTTTTTAACAAATGTAGGAGTAACTTTAAAATATTTCCCCTTTTGTCCCCATATTTCAATTTTATACCCTTTTTCACCTTTTCACCTTTTTCTAATAAAAAATAAACAAGTCTTTCTTTTTTTCAAATCTTTTTCAAAGTGTAATCATAAAATTATAACTTAGAAATTAATTAATGAATAATTTTATTCCTATATACCTTTACTTCCAAAATTAATTGAATTTTAAAATAGTTTCGTTCACAATTTTCATAAATAGATGAACTTGAAAAGATTTTAATTTTGAATTTTGTAAAATTTCAATTTTGAATGGATTTCATTAGAAATTCTAAATAACTTAAATTTTTGCAAAAATTTTCAAAATTTAAATAATTCTGAAATTAGTTAAATTTTTTAATATATATATATATATGTCGTTGGCAAATAGAAAAATCCGGCATTTAGCTTAATGCCTAGGCATTGGGCTAAATGCCGGCAAGTACATAAATGAATCGTGAAAAATGGTTATTTTTCTATTTGCCTGAAATATAAGAAAGTATTGGTACTGTACCAGTATAACGACGGTATGTCGTACGACTGAAATTGTTAAATAAAAGAACTCCATAAAAGTATGAGGCTAGTATAATACCATTACGTTGTACTGTCATTTATGAAAATACAGCATATTCGTACGATACAATTACCATACCGGTACACCGTACTCTGCGTGGTAATGCGAACATAACCTAATTTACTTTACAGTTGTCAATGACATATGCCTCCAGTGCACATGGTGCAATGATTTTTTGTTGAAAAGCTGACTTTTAGGATGCAATACAAAAGTTTTAATATTTGTAACATGTGTCACTATATTTAAATTAGAAATCAGTGGTTTAATTTCTATTCATCTATATGTAATATGTGTATACTATTAATCTCAAGTGGTTTTGCTTTGTCATGATGCTTATATTTTTATCATTAGCGTATTCTAATAATTACTACAACAATGGACAACTTCTGATTTTTAAACTGTTTTGTGCTTTACACTTGAGAAAAAAATTTTAATTCAAGAGTTACAATAAAATATATAGAAATCGCAATATTTTTAAATAACTTTTCTTATAGATCACATATACATGTGTTATCATTTATAGGTTAGAACGTCCAAATTATTTTTCTTACAATAAAGTACTTTAGATTATAAATGGTTATTAATCACAGTTATTTTAAAGAATGTTTAAAAATTAGCAAAGCAAAACCACTACATAATTATTTAATTAAAATACTTCAAAACACTGATTATTCTAATAAAAGTAAATGTGGTTACAAGTTACATAATATCTTTAGGTACAAAAAAAATAACTCTTTTAATAAGAATAAATTACTTCAAAATTAAATTGATCTTAGTAATGATTCTTTCAGAAAATTTATCATCAAATATTAAATTAAAATAGTTAATACTTAATACAGACTAAAGCACAAGAGGGAGAGGGATATAAAAGGCTTTACACGCGGTACTAGTATAGTACGAATACAGTAACCGTACGATAAACTAAATTACAAAAACCTTCAGTACACCATACTATTATCGTACTCGTATTATACGAGCATAAGCATACTGGTACGACATACTAGTACAGTACCTGTTACCGTGCGAAGGTAGATGGCGAGTACAGTACCAGTACGATTAATACGACTATGGCGTATTAATCGTACGTATATATATATATATATATCCCAGGCGCGAGCTGACAGTGAGTTCAGGCTTTACGAAGCTTGATTGAGGGTTGGTCAGTATTGGTTAAAGCTTGGTGGGACAGTGAAAGCAAGGCTGCTTGAGTCCGGAATAGTAACACCGATGTAAACCTGACGCTCAGTCTTTGTTGAAGACTGGCGTTCAATCTTCAATCAATGCTGCGGAAGCCGAAAGCAGGACTGAACAAGACTGCTTCCACTGTTCCCAAATTTACACGCTTCTCACGCGTTCATTCAATATAACGTGAATATATTAATTATTATTATTAATAATAAACAGTATTGTTATTAATATATATGTATTTACATATTTAATGACAATAAGTTATTATTATAATAATTATATTATTTTCATATAAATATTATATTACTAACAATAAATGTCATTTAACATAATAATATTGAAAAATAATTTTAGCAAAAAAAGACAATTTGTGATAATTTGTACATTTTTTAACTTCATTTTTAACAGACTTTTAATATTATTTACAAACAAGTTCACAAGTTTTTATTCACAACACTTATTAATTATACAGATTAAATAGTAATTTTATTATTTTATGTAACGCTTATAATGAAAAAATCCGCTCGCATGTGGGATCGAACTCACGTCCCCCCGCCCCAGACGCATTCCGGAAGTCCTTGACGCAACCACTTAAACCGCACGGCCACTGAGTCTCGATGAGACCTCGGACTAATGTAATATATTAATGCCAGTGCCGTATACTTTGTTACTTATAAGGGCAAAGTGAAAACTATGACTAAAAATTTTACACATACTAATCCTGAATTATTTTAATTATTAAAAATGAATATTAAATAATTCATAATAAAATTGTAATCATTACAAAATTCAACTTTTAAAACATTTTACAATTAAAAATATTTAATGGATAATTTAATAAACATCGATAAATAAATGATATTTTTTATTATTCAGTAACAAAATTATTAACATTTATTATTAGATATATTAATAATATATTATTTAAATAAATATAATTTGGAATAATAATGAACTATAATGTTAAATATTGTAATTATTATTAATTATAATAATAATTATTAATAATTATAATAATTAATTAATAAATAAATAATAATTAATTAAATTAATATTAAAAATTAGCATAATTAATAAAATTATTAAACATGATGCAGTGTCAGGAATATTTATTGCACATTTTAATTATTATTTACTAATTATCTATAATAATTTTAAAAACATTTATAAAAAAAAATTTTCCATTTAACTTTTTTTAAATTTGAATGTTACAATTATAATAATATATTTATACTAAATAAATATAAATATTCATTTATCAATTAATAACTTAATGTTAATTATTATTATTATTTGAAACAATTATTATAATTATAATTATTATAATATTATTTAATTAAGTGAACACGGTAATAAATAAAGATAAACTGAATATTGTGTAAAGATTGATTCAAGCTTGAATCAAGATTAGATGTTCGAGCTTCACTCATAAAGATTGACCGAGTCTTGAATCGAGCATGGGACGAGCATTGGGTCCAATGTTGAACCAATATTGAACTAATATTGATTGACAGTGATGTAAAGACTGCTTCTACTGTGAGTTACCCACACTGAGCGTTCAAGACTCAATCAACCTTTAATCTATCGTCAGCATTGGTCTTTCGCGCCTGGGATATATATATATATATATATATATATATATATAATTATAAAGAATTGGCAATCTTTTTGGGGCTATAATAAGATATTAACACATCTTAACGTTTCTAGATCTGTACCGATCCCCTCATCAGAATTTAATAATCAATTAAAACTGAGTTACATATTAAAATGGTTTTTTACAACATATAACCAAGAGAATAAGAGTTTTTAATATACTTGAACTGCGAACTTGCGAAGAATTTTTTTTTATTTTTGAAAATAATGGAATTTTTGCAATTATTTGAAACTTTTCCAAAATTCAAATTTTTTTTTAGTGTTGTTAACTAAAATTCTTCTATAAATTCATTATTTTTAATAATATATATATATATATGACGGGTTCCACGTCAAGTGACCCAGGTCCAAATTTTAAATGTTTGGGATCGGGTTAAAAGTTTGCACAAACAGTAGTCCTATTCGATACAATTAAAAATACCAAATATTATTAATTTATTTAAACAAATATAAAAACTGGAGGGGGTCAAAGTTTAAATTTTTGGTCTAACATGGAATATTTGAAAAATTTGTAGTTTCTTTAAAACAAAACGAAAATACATTTTCTATTTTGGGTTTTTCTGCTGTTTTTTAACACTTTCCAATGGTGTAAACAAATGTAGAGAAAAAAAAATTTTGACCTTGAAAAATTAAATTAAAAAATAAAATTTCATTTTTTCATCAAATGGACAGTTTTTATTTTTTTAAAAAAAATTTTATCATAAAGGTGAGGTTTTTTCCTAAAAAAAAATGTATAGGTCAAAACGTGGGACAAGAACTTTTAACTGGTCAAAATAAACATTTACTTCTGCAATCCACCGCCCCTGCGCGTTGTTGGGCTGTATATTGTTTATAACAATTGAAATAAATTATTTTATGCTTTAGTAATTATCTGGTGGTCATATATTGGATGAATTTGAATTGATTTAGATCATGTGCATTAACGGAATAAGAAAATAAACGTCCTTTTTTAAAAAAGTGTATTAATTTGTTAACTTTGATTTTAAAAAAATTATAAATAATTAAAATCCCCAAAATCGGCCTGGAAGGATGTCTTAAGAATTTATTCCCCTTTAATTTAAGACAAAGAACACTCAAATAGGTTAAAAATTGTAAGCTATAGACATTTTTTAATAGGAGATTGTAAAAAAAATTCCACTGTGGGCCGGTGCAGTGCAGATGTAAATGCTTAATTTGACCAGTTAAAAGTTCTTGTCCCACTTTTTGACCTATACATTTTTTTTTAGGAAAAAACCTCACCTTTATGATAAAATTTTTTTTAAAAAAATAAAAACATTAAGCTTCCTCAATATAATATATACCAATTGTTTAATTTTTTATTTTAGAATAATTATTTTAAAGTGTTAAGATAAAATGTCAAAAATTACAAAATTTCAATTTTTTGTGAAAATTTAAAATATTTATTAATTCTATAAATTTTGATAAAATATATACTTTATATACATGAATCGATTCGTTTTTATGTCAGGAATGCAATTTTGACAAGAATTAATAAAAATTTTAATATAGAAAAAAGTTACTTCAATCCGGACATTTGTTCCTCTCGACGAATTATATATACTACACTTGAAAATTTGTAAAAATAATTGGTTTTAAAAAATTCGGAAATCAACATCACTATAAGGCTTCCTTTATGAGGAAGCAAAATAATGAATTTATAGAAGAATTTTAGTTAACAACACTAAAAAAAAATTTGAATTTTGGAAAAGTTTCAAATAATTGCAAAAATTCCATTATTTTCAAAAATAAAAAAAAATTCTTCGCAAGTTCGCAGTTCAAGTATATTAAAAAATTTAAAGAAATTCTAGTCAAAATTTCAATTCTCTTTATAAATAATAAAATTCTTCATCAAAATTCAATTATTTTCAAAAATTTTAATAAAATTCTCCGCAAAATTTCAATTATTTGCAAAAATTTTCCTAAAATCAATGATATTTAATATCTACTATTTTAATAAAATTTTCCAAAAGAATTCAATTATTTCAAAAAATTTTTATTAAAATTCTACGCATACGTTTAATTATTTTCATAAATAATAAAATAATTTCACAAGAATTCTATTATTTACAAATTTTTTATAAATTTCTTCACAATAATTCCATTATTTTTATAAATAATCAAATTCATCGCAGAATTTCAATTATTTTTAGTACAATTTTAATCAAATGCCTCGAAAAATAAAATTATTTAAAAAAAATTTATTAAATTGATTTAAGTGAACTTCAGTTAAAATTTTACATAATAAATGAATATTAAAAGCATTATAGCGTAAATTTTTAGAAATAATTGAATTTTGAAAAAGTATTATATTGCAATATTGTATTATTGTAAATAATTGATTTAAAGAAGAATTTTAGTTAAAAATTATAGAAAATAATAATTGAATTGAAATGATGAAAATAATTTTAAAAAAGTTAAAGTAAAAATATTTTTTATAGTAGAAAATAATGATCTTATCACTCGGTCATCTTTAATTATTATACTTAAAACATGAAGAAAGTCATAATTTTCTTCATGTTTTATAATAATATTCTCATAAATTGTTGAATTTAAAAAATATTTGAATTTGAATGTTTTGAAAATCTTAATTCCTATGGAAAAATAATAATGATTAAATATTTTTTTTAAAAAGAAGTTATTGCTGTTTTCGAATACTTTAACAGTTAAAGAAATTCGTAAATAAATGTAATAGAACATTTTTTTGAGTAGCTAATCATTTTTAGAGTGAATCGCAGAATATTCTTTAGAGAAAAAGTCGAAATTTTGTCTTGAAATCAATTCTGATTAAAATCGAATCATGTTTAAAAAATGTTATGGAAGCTATGTGGTAAAAAATTTGAATTATATATGCAAGTTATATAAACAAATAATTTTTTATCCCCTTTTGGTCCCCTTTTTGAGGAAAAAAATTCCCCTTTTCACCTTTTTCGAGGAAAAAAGGTAGGTACTGTGATGCCTGAATTATTATCTCTATAATTGTGGGGAAGCAAAGTGTTCATGAAATGAACAGAAAGATAATAACGTCAAGAATGCAACTTGGCAGCGCTTTTATTTTTTTCTCACTAGATTCTTTCTCTTTTATTATTTAAAATTTTCCTTATCAGAAAAATTAAAAATAGGTAAAAAATGAGAAACATAAGACATTTACTATTTTTTCAGCTGATAATAGAAGTAAACGAAAGAGAGTGAAATCGAGAATGCAAGATTTTACCGTTTTTGCGGAGAAAAATGAAAATCAACGAACACACGTGTCACCGCAATTAATGTTAGCTCTGTTTCAATTTTTATCTACAAGTAAGTATCAAAAGCATAAAGCACAATTAATTGATTTTTTAATTAATTTGAAATTGATTTTTAAATAACATTCTGGTTTTCAGTTGAATCCTTCAAGTCTGACATAATATCGGAAAATATTTTACGTCGCTTATTAAAGCATGACGTTATTTATTATATAAAAGTAAAATCGCGAGAGAAAGCGCGTCACGATCCGGTGACAATAATTTATCAACAAAATAAAGCAGCGGATTACTTTGTTTTAATTTTGGAAGGTCGTGTTGAAGTAACATTGGGTAAAGAAAATATGACTTTCGAGAGTGGACCATTTACTTATTTTGGAACGCAAGCATTGGCTATTAATGTTTCTGCACGTAAGTTATTTTCTTTTCTTTGAGAATATATTTACTAGACTATTTGTTTTCGAAACAGAAAATTAAACAAACTTATTTTCCAGTTGAATCACCTGTTAATGTAAATCCACAATCAATGGGAAGTATTCATTCGGTAAACTTGAATGCAATAGCGCGTCATACATTTATTCCGGATTATACTGTTCGTGCAGTGACTGAAGTTTTTTATGTAAAAATAAAACGATCATTGTATCTTGCGGCAAAACGTGCTACTCTCTTAGAAAGAAGTCAAAAGGATATTTCGCCAAGCACAGATCAGTTTGATGACGAAGTCGAAAAGGTAAATTATAAAAAGAAAAAAAATACATTTTTTATTTAGAAAACCAGCTTATTTCTTAAAGCAAATACGTAATTATTATTTCTCTCGCACTTTTCAGTTATTAGTGCATGATTTTGATGAAGATGGCGAAAATTTTACGTAAAAGAAAATTTTTATCATCAAGTAGGTTATTGTTCCAAAATTTTCCGAAACTTTGCTTGGGAAAAGTTTTTTCCTTTATTTTCAACATTTATAAATTCTCTGTATTTTAAGGGGACTTTCTGGTGCAGAATTAATAAAAAAACCTTTTTAAACTCTTTTATTGTAAAAAATATAATACAGTTATTGCAAAACTTCCTTTTGGATATTGTTACAAGAAGATAATTAAAAACTATTTTTTTGTGTATTTTTCATTCATTTTCGCAAAAAGTCAAAAAATAACCTAAATATTGACAAATTTAAAAAAAAATAAAAATTACTATAATTCTTTTATCCCACATGCACAAAAATGGCGCTTTTAGATACATAGCTGTCGACAGGGAGTGAAATCATTCATTTCTTCGACAAATTTTTGTTTTTGTTTTGTGCATTAGGAATATGAAAAGTATTACTTACGAGTAATATGGAAACAATGTTTGTTGTTTTGCTTAATATACATACTATTTCTTTTGCATATTTCCTTCAAAAATGGTTTAGGACAGTAATTTTATTATACTAAGGATAATTTTAAAGCAAATAAAGAAAAATCCATTTTTTTGAAAGTTCTCTTAAAAATTTTAAAAATTAAAAAAAAATGTTTTATTCATTGTATTTCTTTCCTTCTTAAAATTTTAATAATTTCAGCTGTTGCATTCTTTGGACGAGGATGATCGCAGTGCACCAGAATCTCCAATTTTACCAAAGGATAAAGGATTTGGCGATGTCGAGGAGCAAACACAAACACATACACCAATTCACAAGGTGACAACTTTGCCCGCGCTTCTGCCTGTCAGCGCTAGTCCCATCACAAATTCCAAATTTATTTCACCTCACAGTGAATACAATGGAAAATTAAAAACCTCGCCTATCAAGGTCATTAATGTTAGAAACTTTAAAAAAATTTAAAATTCCATTTCATTATTTAATCATTTTTTCACTTCTAGTCCAATATAAAAAAATACACTAATTTAATATTTTTAAATATAGAAGTAGTTTTAATTTTCAATGCTTGTCTTGAAATTAAGCTTATCTGTTTTTTTATTATATTTTTTTAATACGTGTTTTTTCAAAAAAATAATTTTTGTTTTGTTTTCATAATTCTTTTTAGGTGACAAGTTTGTCGAGTTCACCTGAAAGGGCACAAATTGATGTTAAAGGAGAATCTGTCAGGTTATTACCAGAAAGAAAATCTCTTGAAGATGGAGAACGAACAAATCTTCTTCCAAATGATGATAAATCTTAACACTTGCAGAATGGCCGATGGAATGAGACATCGGACATTATTCGTGAAGAAAATGGAAAATTGCACAACGAAAGTCAGAAAACTTCAGCGTGACGCAAGTTGTGATTTTAATAGTATAATTACTTAGACTTAGAGAAAATCACTGATTTTTGAAATTAGTTTTTAATGAATTTGATTCACTTCATTTTTATTTAAAAAAAAGCAAAAAACAAAAAAAAACTCATTTATGCATATATATGCAGCATTAAAGCTGTACCCATCATTCTTGTATTTTGAGATTATTATACTCAGGGACTGGATGCCAAATTCGCTTGTACCATGAGAAACAATGGTCAATCCACTAAACTACATTTAGCTTACATGAACAAAAAAGAGTACAAATCAAGAATCATTTAGTCGATAAATATTCGCATTAGAGAAACAAAAATCAATACGAAATTAAAGAACATTTTAAAGAAAATTTTTTCAATTTCATTTAAAATACTTAAGGGAAAATTTATTCCTTGAAGTGATTAAATTTTTTTCAAAAGTATTCATTATTTTTCTTTTGCTTTTTATAAGTATTTTTATTTAAGAGTAAGTTAAAAGTAAGAAAAAATTTATATAACATTTCTAAATTTCATAACGTTTCTCTGTCTAGAATTCAAACGTCATTTTTATAAAATGGTTGAAAACATTGTATTTTAAATGTAATTTTCAGTCTTACGTAGTATATATTATAATTAGAGTATTTTTTACACCACCAATGTCTTGTCTACTAAAAATCGTAATTGTTTCATTAAAAAAACAAGTTTCATTTTGACATTTGTAAATAATAACCGTGAAAACAATTTTTACACATTATTTAATTTTGTTTGCCTATTACGTGTAATTAAAGAATGTGAATTTTGATCTCGAAGTAAGAGAATGTTTAAACATGTGGATTGTCTATAAAGTCAAATGGGTACAGCTTTTTAGCTTTATTTACAAAAAAAAGGAAAAAATATATATATATTGAAAACAATTTATTAAATAATAAAGTTAAAGTAAGCGAGAATTTTTGAAAACTTATTATTAAAGTTGAAAAGAAAAAGAGATGAAAAGCAACATTTTTTATCTTAAGGTGGTTTATCCAGCAGAATGCAGACCTTTAAAAAATAATTAACATTTAAATAATTGAAATATTATTATTAATAGTATTTTTTAAAAAAGAAGAAAAATATTTATTTTAAAAAAAATGACAATAAAAAAATGTATTTGTTTGTACAATTTGCATGTGATCCAAATTTTGAATCATATCGTTTCTTAAGAATTTTTGAATCTAATTTCTTCAAATAATTTTTTATCCTCTACAATATGCTTATTTTTTTAAAATAAAATTTTGTTTTTTTTAAACAAATAAATATATTTTCAAAGCGGTGTGCTTGTTTAAAAATATGTACGGTGACGTTGTAAAGAATAATCATTTTTGGGAGAAAAAAGCTATGTTACATTAAAATCAAATCATTTTAAAAATATTTTTAAGAAGAGATGACAAAAAATTTGTATTATTATGTAAACTGTTTATACAAATAAATTTTATAGGTTTAAATTTTTTCCTGAAAATCAATATTTGTTGTTTCGGAAAACTCTATTAATAATAAAATTTCAATTATTTAAATGTTAATTGAGTATTTTTTTACAGTCTGCATTTTTTTGGATGAACTTCCTTAAAAGTAAGCAAAACTTGAATTTGATTTATTTCTTTTTACATATATATTATATTTAGTGCCTTAATACCCAGAGAAAAGAATGCAAGACCTGATAAACATAATTAATTGTTCTTTTAATTTGTTTTTTTTCTTTGATATAAAGTAAATAGTCAACAAATATTTAAATATTAAGAGAAAAATTATAAAATCTTTTCCTTTAAATCTTGAATTATTTTTTCGTTCTTTAACTAATTGTATAAAATAGAGAGTGTCGAATTGATGAGATGTAGAAAATTATTTTCACATTTGCATGTATAGAGCAAAACTCAAATACATACACGAAGAAATCATTATAAAGACATATCTTTCGTATATGATAAGTATGCAGTCATCACATAGAAAACGCTATGATCTTTCAATTTAAAGATAGTGTCACTGGAAGTGTAACAATCTCAATGATACCCTGCGAACATTAACAGTATCATTGTGAAGAGTTAATATGGCAAATTGTCAATATTTTTGTATAGTATTTTCAAAATTTTTATTAATACATTTTTATGAATAAATAATTGATAAAAATTTTTAATGTAAATTTATAATCAGATTTTATTATTCTTTATTAAAAAAATAAATTGAGAAAATTTTCTGTTCAGAAAATTTTTTATTAGTAGTTTTCGTTAAATTTAAAAAATATTGAATATTGTTAGTTTCTAAACTCTTTTTATAATTGAATTCGAGAAAAATTATTACAATCTTGAAATATTTTGAAATATCCCCAAACTTTTTTATAACATGTGGATTAAAAAATTTTTTAATTAAATTTTTGTTCTTAAGAAGAAGAAAATAGATTTTTATTATTGATATTTTGCCACAATTAACCTACTCTATTTTCAAGAAAAGCTGCTGCTGCTGCTGCTGCACTTAATTATCAGTTTGAATTGAAACTTTGTTATATTTTACAATACTTGTTTCAAACCATGACAATCCTTCCAAATTGTGCCATTTATTCTAGTGCTTTCTTTATTTTTATTATTTTTTTAAAGAAAATTATTTGGCATAACTCGATAAGTGCAGCGACAACTTTTAAAACAATAATCATTTTTTAAATAGTGTCTAGTTATATTTCTAACCTGCGTTATTCTAGAGACGTTATAATTTTAAAAATATTATTTTACGCACAAATAAAAAACCTCTTGAAATATTTTATAAATTTGTCAAAATTTAATTGAAAAATTTAATTTTTTCCTGGAAAATACTTTATTATAATTTATAGCGTCTCTAGAAAATAACTGAGTATTAAATTTTCACATCTGCTTTAATATCTGGAATATTGAAAAGTAATATTTTTAAATACATTAAATATTGTTATCGTTTTAAATTTTTAATTGTTATTCATATTTATTAATATAACACCAAAAGAGGATAAAAATCTGTTAGTAAATATAATAATTACGAGAATAATAATGTTTTTAAAGAAATAGCGAATGCGTGCGGAGAAAGTGCTCGTATACGTTGGTATCTTAATTTTAAAATAAAATAGAAAAACTTATTTTTTAATTAATGTAATTAGGAATTGAGTGTTTGTATTTATTACATATTCTCAAAATATTATGAGAATAAGACATTGATTTTGTGCGAGTTATTTTTTTTTTCTTTTGAATAAGTTTGTGCCGTTTTATACATCAAATGATTTATTCCAAGATGAAAACAATTATCATGTTACTTTCTTTTTCTTTCTTTTTTTTTTGTAAAATTAAGTACTTTATCATGAACAATTATTTGCTTATTATGCGTGATAGATGATAGGTTTTTGTATTTCTGAAAGTGAATTTTTTTATAAAAAAAGTAATAGTTTTAAATTCAGTTGACCCTTTAAAAAAATATATATGTATGTCTGTAAAAAATTACGATAATTACAAATGAGAGAAGAAATTTCAAAAATATTGAGTTATTTAAAATATACTCACATTAATATATCATGTGAATAAGAATAAATTTTTCGAAACATTTTTTAATTTTCATTATATTAACCAAAAAAAAAAAATTCAATGACATTAAAAAAGTCTAATGTTTTTACAGTTTTATTGACAAAGATATAATTTTTTTTGTAAAGATAATTTAATTTTTATTCACATGAAATATTCCAATTAAAAATATGAAAATAAATACATGTATTATATAATGTTAAGAAAATTGACTACATTTAGATAGAAAATAATATATACATATTATTTTAGAAGATTTATCGTAATTTTGTACTCCGATTAATTGTATTTATAAAATATTAACACAATAGGTGAAAATTATGTATAAAAAATTATTTGAGAACTTTCTCTGTTCATTACACTCAATAACTGAACAGAGTTTACAAAGTATATACGATTAAGCATCTCACAAAGAAAACAAACAAAAAAAATGTAATAAATTGTACTTAAAAAGTCAGGTGTGCTTTTAAAAAACAAAATCTATGTCAAATTTGCATTGGCGAAAGCAGTGCAATAAGCATTTAATTAATAATGTCCAACGAATGAAACGTTTGTACTTCTAGAAAAAATTACAAGTTTCATGTACTTATGAAATAAAAAAAAAAGAAAAAATTAATTTTTTTTCACAAATTAAACTAAAAGATTCTATAATTGAAGATTATAATGTTAATCCAGAAATGCAAAAGTTGTTATAATACATTTTGAGATTTTGAGAATTAAATGAAATTATTAATATTATTAATGAATTATTTGAAGAAACTTTATAATTTAATAAATTTTTGGATTATGCAATAAAATTTTATTATATTGAATCATTTATTTTAATTTGCTTGAATAAATTTTTTGAAAAACATTTTTTGTTATTTCTTAATTTTGTTTTTTTATTGCGAAAGGTCAAGGATTGAGAGATAGTTCAAGAGGCAAATATAAATATGTAAGACAAATTGTATCGTATAAACAATTAGTATCCATTATAGTTTTCTAAAATAAAACAATAGTGAACTATTCTATGATTAGTTGTATATTTTGTTATGATTCCAGGTGCTTGAGTGCAGCTGTTCCCCTCGCCGAAAGCAGTCAATCACATTTAGGGGTAGATCCCTTGTTGAGAGAAAACCACCACAGGCTCAGTCACACTTTCTAACTACTACCACGAGATTGTTCGGCGCACGTTGATGTTGCGTCGTGTTGCGTCGCGACGACGCTTTCCTGGAGTGGGATTCCGTTGGATCATTCACAAATGATAGTCGCCACTCGCCGGGCATCAGTTAGTAAGAAGCGCTCAAACTTGATTATTCATCTTTTATATGATGAATTAATTATAACTTTCTCATCAGTCAATTCAAAAGAAGGTCAATACATTTATTTCATTCATTTATTTTATTTAAGTTAAAAAGATAATTAGGATATTTTGTAATTTAATTTTTTTACTTGAATTATTAAATTATTTTTCAGTTCAGTTATATTGGAATTTAACTAGTTAGAGAAACTAGAAGTTTCTTTATAGAGTCAATCATTAAAAAATTCAAATACATTATTTAATTTAATTTAATTATTGTTCAACTGTCAATTCAGTTATTTAAAAATTCAAATGTTTAATTTAATTAGTTTTTTATTCGTTTGATAATTGATATGTTGGGGAAAACTGTCTAGATAAATTATGAAAAAAAGTATAAATTCTTGGGTAATATACGGAATAGATCGACTTACACCTGTTGACATAGACTATGTCAATGTCAAGGGTGCAATTAAAGTTATGGCATATTTTCATCACAAATATAGCCGTTTTAATTTTATTGAAGATAAAAATAGACTCACGTCTATATAGAAAGCGAATTCTTGTGTTAAATTAATTTTCTCACATGCTGCATTATATATTATGTAGGTATTAGTTTATAAAATTTATAAATAATAATTTTTGATATGCAATTAAGTAATGATATTTGAGTTGATTGCTAACGATGACTCTGAGTCAGGAATATTTATTATTATGTAGGTACATTTATTAATTACCCTGAAAATAGAAAATTTTGTTTTGTTTTTTTACAGCTTTTTTCAATGGATAATTTAAAATTTTGTTCTGAATTATTTCTTGAGAGTCCGTATTAATTATTATTGTTTTAATGATTCACTTTTTTAGCTAATTAAAAACACCATATTAGAGAGAGAAGGAACACCATATAATTTTGTTTGAGATGAAACAGAGAAAATCGAAAGGAAATTATATTATGTGTTGGACAATAAAGGAAATCTATTTTTGACCTTGTATCTGACGCCGATTGGAATCATTAAATGGCCATAAAGACATTTTATCAATGTGGATTTGAAACGCTGTGCGCCACTGTTAAAGACACATTTTTATTGAAGGAAGAAGAAGAAGAAGAAGAAGAAGAAGAAGAAGAAGAAGAAGAAGAAGAAGAAGAAGAAGAAGAAGAAGAAGAAGAAGAAGAAGAAGAAGAAGAAGAAGAAGAAGAAGAAGAAGAAGAAGAAGAAGAAGAAGAGAAGAAGAAGAAGAAGAAGAAGAAGAAGAAGAAGAAGAAGAAGAAGAAGAAGAAGAAGAAGAAGAAGAAGAAGAAGAAGAAGAAGAAGAAGAAGAAGAAGAAGAAGAAGAAGAAGAAGAAGAAGAAGAAGAAGAAGAAGAAGAAGAAGAAGAAGAAGAAGAAGAAGAAGAAGAAGAAGAAGAAGAAGAAGAAGAAGAAGAAGAAGAAGAAGAAGAAGAAGAAGAAGAAGAAGAAGAAGAAGAAGAAGAAGAAGAAGAAGAAGAAGAAGAAGAAGAAGAAGAAGAAGAAGAAGAAGAAGAAGAAGAATAGAAGAAGAAGAAGAAGAAGAAGAAGAAGAAGATGCTTATTTGAGAAACTCAAATGTCTGAATATAAATTGCAAGGTAAGCCATTCAAGCTTTTAACTATAATAATATCAATTGCTTTGTTCATGGCACATGTTAATTCTCAGATACCCCAAAGAAAATGTTGTTATTAACAATATATATTGTATAACTTATATTACAAATTTATATTAGATTTTACGTTCAACTTGAATATTATTCATCTTCATTGCATAGAGAATATATATTTTATTTATAAATAATGTCAAACATTAAAATGGATTTCCATGATATTCTTTTCACTTTAAAAGATTTTACTTTAAAATAAAAATTTTATTTTTATATAAGTTCTTTAAATAATTTTATATGCAACCACCTGCCTACGCTTTATTTATATAAAAGGTAAAAAATCAGAAATAATTTTAATCAATTTACACATTTGAAATATAGTTTAATAATTAGAAATCTAATTTAATTCCATAAAATTAGAAAAAAATTATGTTTTCAAACGTATAATTATCTTGAAGATGTATTTGATTATTATTATACAATTTTTAATGAGTATTTCTAAAGTGAACTTCTCAAGAGGATTTTTCCTTCTTTTTTTTGCTAATTAATATTTCTTTTTTTTATATGCACAACAAAATAATGTGAAAAATAAATTACAATTTACAATTTTAATTTACTTGAAATTAAATGGTTAAATTTATATTAAAATGTGTAATTAAAAATTTTGAAAATAATTATTATAATTCCTCCCGGAATTATTAAATTTAACAAATAATTGAAAAAGTTTATGAACGCTACATTAAAGTTTGTCAAGAGAGTTGAGACTGAGAGAGGAAGGGAGAGTGACCTCACAATTTTCACATTGAATGTTGTACAATCACACGAATTTAAAATCTTTGCAGATTAATCGACTTTCACTAAAATAATGTCCATTATACATTTTCATTATTAGAAAAAAATTCTTAAAATGTAAAATGTCTTGTTTTAAAAATAATTATTTATCCGTGCGGGAATTTTATGTTGCACTGATTATTCTAAACAATTTGAAGCCATTTTAATTTAAGTAATTTTTAAAGAAATTATTATTATTATTGCATAACTGAAAAAATAATTAGAATTAAATTAAATTAATTTAATTTACTTCTAAATTTTGTTTGAAATTATAATAATTTGACTATAAATGGTCTCATTTTGAATATATCTTGGCGTTGAGCTGTAAACCGTGCTATTCCAAATTTGACAAGTTTGCACATTCATAGATTAAAGCAAGAAATAAGAAATAAAAAATAATTGCTTTAAGTGTATTATGTATCATTATAAAATCTATTGTATGCTTTTAACGACATATAACAGTTTTACCCTGAGGTATCGATATAGTGTTTGCTGGGCAAAAATATATTCAATAACACGTTTCATAAAATATTAATATAAATTAATAATAATAATTAATAGGGGAAGAAGTTCGTTATATGATTTTGAACTAATATTTTTTATCAAATTTCGCAAAAGAATTCAAGTATTTGAAAAAAATTGATAAAATTCATCCAAAATTCAATGGTTTTCATAAATAAAATTTCCACGGGAATTCAATTGATTTAAAATAGCATTTTAAAAAAAAGTTTCGAAAAAATCAATTATTTAACCAAATTTTTATGCATAATTCTTCACAATAATTCAATTACTTTCACTAATAATAACATTTTTCATCGAAATTCAATTATTTAAAAAAATTTTTGATTAAATTATAAGCATGAATTTAGTTATTTTCATAAATAATAAAACTCATCGAAGAATTTCAATTATTTTTATTACTATTTTAAATTAATTAGGTAATCATAAAATTCAATTATTTCCACAAATAAATTTTTTATATGAATTCAGTTATTTAAAATAAAATTTTCATAATATTTATTATATTTCGAAAAAATTAATTATTTAAAACAATGTTTATAAAATTCTTATGAAGAATTCAATTATTTTCAAACATAACAAAATTTGTCACAGAAATCCAATTCTTTTTAAACATTTGAATAAAATTTCTCGCAATAATTCAATTATTTTGATAAATAATAAAATTCTTCTCAGGAATTTAATTATTTTTGGAAATTTTAATAAAATTCTTAGCAACTACCTATTCAATTATACTTTATATAATTAATAAAATTCATCGCAGGAATTTTAATTATTTTTAATACAATTTTAACCCTTTAATGGCCAAGTTTTTTGCCGTTATTATAAATGTATAATGTTTAGTAAATTCGTTTATTCTATTATTCAATATGAGAAAATTTTTTTTAAACATTTTCCACCCCTTAAAACCACCCCTAACGTATATTACTACCCAAAAAAATTGATAATTAATCTAAGTGATGAATTAAATATTTGTTAGCTCCTGTCTGCTTTATAATTATTTATAAATATTCTCTGGTTGTTGAAAAATGAAAAATAATTATAAATAACCACTTGAACACCACCCTCAAAGTCAAATAGCCACCCCTTGACGATAATAGTTTTTGTGGATATTTAAGAAAAATCTATAGATTCCAAATGCATCTAAATTATAAAAAAATGTTTCTAATTGACACAAATGTGGATAATAATGTTAAACACCCCCCTTGGAACCCCACCCCTATTTCATAATTATTCTTACATACTGTCAATAGTTTTGAACAATTAAAAAAATTATTTTCATTGATTCTATACCCCAGGTAGAAATTGACGACCGGGATGGTACCGGCCCGGTATAAACGGCGGATTATAAGTGCCGGGGCAGTACCGGCATAAGACCGTAATTTTTACAGTCTCGGTACCGGCAAATTGCCGGATGATAGCTGCGGCAGGTATCCGGCATACGTACCGGGCCGGTACCGAATTGTCCACCGGGGCGGTACTGGCCCGGTTATTGTTGGAAGGCATTTAGTGCCGGTTTATTACCGGCTGCACAACCGGCTAGGTACTGGTCCACTACCGGCATAAGTGTGTTCATTCCGCCGGCGCAGTACCGGTAAATTGCCGGATGATAACTTCGGTAGGTATCCGGCAACCGTACCGGGCCGGCACTGATGAATATCTGACACAGTACCGGGCCGGCACTAAAAAAATTACATTTCAGTCTGATTAATTGTTTAATTATTATTATTATTATCAATGTTATTATTAATTTTAAATTGGAAACAGTAAATATATTAAATGCTGAAACAGAGAAACATAAACAATTATAGAAAAATCTGAAGACTCGATGAATTGAACTCAGGACCCTGAGACTGCAAAGTCGACACCACATCCGCTAACCTAAACCTGCATATGGAAAGTAAATGCAAAGTGAGTTTATAAAGTCCAACCGACATTCCACCTGGCAGGAGTACCGGGCCGGCACTAATATTCAACCGGTGCGGTACCGGGCCAATATTTGTATTTTCTAATTTATTTTAATTCAATTTAAATCATTAAAAATAAATAAATAAAAAAAGTAATTATAAATAATAATAACCGCCCTATTCACCGGCTAAATACCGGGCCGGCACCAATAAGCAACCTACTCGGTATTAATATAATTGCCGGCATAACTAACTAATTAATTTATTATTAATAATTAAATTATTTAATTAATTAATAAATTAATTTTCAAATTTTTTTTCCACTTCTTTAATTCTTTTTCTGCTAGTTTAACATTAGCAAACAACCGGGACGACACTGGGCCAGTAATAATATTTTTGTCGGCAAAACTTCTGTGCCAGTAGAAAGTATTAAGTAAATATTTGTGCTGGGCGGGTGCTGGGCCGGCTCAAATATTATCACCGGCAAATCTCCTTCGTTCGTATAAAAACAAAACCAAATGGTGGTACCGGGCCGGTGCTGGGCCGGTACAAATATTATCACCGGCAAATCTTCTTTGGCGGTATAAAAACAGAACAAAATAGTAGTACCGGTCGGGTGCTGGGCCGGTACAAATATTATCACCGGCAAATCTTCTTTGGCGGTATAAAAACAGAACAAAATAGTAGTACCGGTCGGGTGCTGGGCCGGTACAAATATTATCACCGGCATATCTCCTTCGGCGGTATAATACAGAGCGAAATGACTGAACCGGGCCGGTGCTACGCCGGTGCTGGGCCGGTAAAAATATTATCACCGGCAAATCTCCTCCGGCGGTATAAAACAGAGCGAAATGACAGTACCGGGCCGGTGCTGGGCCGGTAAATATATTATCACCGGCAAATCCCCTTCATCAGTATAACAACGAAACCAAATGGTAGTACCGGTCGGGTGCTGGGCCGGTACAAATATTATCACCGGCAAATCTTCTTTGGCGGTATAAAAACAGAACAAAATTATAGTATCGGGCCGGTGCTAGTCCGGTAAAAATATTATCACCGACAAATCTCCTCCGGCGGTATAAAACAGAGCGAAATGACAGTACCGGGCCGGTGCTGGGCCGGTAAAAAAATTATCACCGGCAAATCTTCTTCGGCGGTATAAAAACAGAAGTAAATTATAGTATCGGGTCGGTGCTGGGCCAGATATTTTTTATCAACCGGCCCGGTACACACTACCAGTACCGGTACAAATCCACATTTACCACCGGGCCGGTACTGGGCCGGTATTTATTTCATATCCGGCCCGGTACCTTTTTGCCGGTACCGGCATAAGTCCGACTTTACAACCGGTTCGGTACCATGCCGGTCGTTAGTGCTGACACTTCTTCAACTTTTCTGCCTGGGACGTTTCGAATATACGAAAAAATAGTTTTATGATGACTATGTAATTATAGTTAATGTAAACTACCGTTTAAAAAACAAGCCCAAAGTCAAATAACCACCCATTGCTGATAAAAGTTTTTGTGAATGATAAAAAAAATCTATAGCTTCTAAATGCTTCTAAATTATAAAAAAATTGTTTCTAAGTGACACAGATATGGATAATATTAATAAGCACCCTCCTGGAAACCACCCCAATTGCATAACAAGATTCAGCCGAATCTAATAAATTTTTAAATTTATCGTCAGCCATGTTGGATCTGCCATTCTGAATTTTTTAAAACTGACATCGGA